CATTACCAAGTTCTTCACCCGCCACCCACCACAGCCGGCCTAAGTCAGTGATAGTGAGGATATGGACTTATATGGACTTTGAGGGGTTTGACATAGAGGCCCTGCAAGCCTATGTGGTGGATAGTGATACAATTGATACAAGTGATACAGGTGAGGGCCAATAATCTGCCCTCTGCCTCGGAACCAACCCCCATCCCTGTGTGCCCAGCCATCTTTTCTACTAATGTAAGTGTTAAAAAAACTAATATTATTGATATTTCTCTTAATTATTAATTGTGTGTGCATACCATCATAAAGTTAAGATGATAATTTTACTACAACATAGTTGTGTGTCGTCAAAAAGTGGAGTTTGGGGGTCGGGCCAGTCTCTATTGGAATTATTCCCATATGTTCTGTTGTTCACTTTACACTGTTTTCACTTTACGCGGTACCCTGTGGGTTCAATTGACCGCGTAAATCGGGGTACTACTGTATTGGCTACCAAATACAGTATATGCAGTATGTACAGTAGCTAAAACAACTATCTGTGCAGGTGGGGGTCGATATGCTACGAAATTTTACGTGTGACGAGTGACAGCCCTCATATACCAAAATTTATCGCCCATGGTCTCATATTGTTTCCCACAAAGTATGCACAGATAGTTGTTTTAGCTACTGTACCATGACTGGTAATAATTTGCAACATTGTCCTCTTAGGAGGAGTCACTCTAGGAAAAAATTCCATGGAAGAAAATTTGCTTCTTACCTCTTGAATATTATAAGAAGTGGGAGGAATTGCAACTTTTCTAATTTTGTTTTTCTCTAGATTTTGTTTAGGATAAATACAGTTGATGGACACCATGTTTTCAGTTAAAATGGTGATGCACTTGCCAGCAAATCATCCTAATGCCAATCAACCAAATGCTTCCCAGCAAACTTCTCATAACACTTAACCAGCATACCTAACCTAAAATAACTGGTACACTTTTACTCTCAGACAGCACAGGAATCTTAGAAATTTTATCTTTGCCATCAATTGTTTGGACTATTCTAAGACACTTTTATTTTATAATGTTTCCCACTCAAATGACCTAATGCCTAACCTAACCTCCTAACCAGGGAGTTCCGTCACCCTAGATCCCCCAGGCAAATACAATTCGTTTGTGAGGGAAATGTCAAAGAAGAAAAGTATCTTAAAATTGTCTAACTATTGAGTGCAAAGATAACATTCCTAAGATTCCTGTGATGTTTGAAACTAAATTACAGTGCTGTATTACCAAATAATGCACTTCCATCCTGTGATATGTATGTTAGGTTAGGTAAGGTTTGTTTAGCTGACTTATCTTATTTGCACTGTCATCAGTCTCTGGTTGTTAGCAAATGCTTGTGGGTGTGACATGTGCTCCTCGTGTATGAAACTCTGTCCAGGACAAAATCGCCAAACTAATACTGTACAGTACGGCCGTATAATTCACAGATTTTTATTTTGCAGTCCTCTATTATTAACAGATGACATTCTGGATGTACCCAAGAATATCTAAGTGTAGTTTTAAAGTTGCTGGCATTTTTGCGGCAAGGTCAGGGAGCCATTCGTTCTAGAGACAGTAATTTCCTTTACCTGTACAATATTGTATACAGTAGTACCCTGATTTACGCGGTCAATTGAACCCACAGGGTACCGCGGAAAGTGAAATCCGCGTAAAGTGAACAACAGAACATATGGGATTAATTCCAATAGAGACTGGCCCGACCCCCAAACTCCACTTTTTGACGACGCACAACTATGTTGTAGTAAAAATATTATCTTAACTTTATGATGGTATGCACACACAATTAATATAGAAGAGGTTAGGTTAGGAAAAATAAAGGTTAAATTAGGAAAAATATAGGTTAGGTAAGGAAAACTAAAGGTTGGGTGTAACACTTACGTTAGTAGAAGAGATGGGTCGGCATACGGGGATGGAGGCTGGTTCCGAGGCAGAGGGCAGATTACTGGCCCTCAGGTGAATCGCCATTACTAGGTGCATCACTATCAGTTATAGTTGTCAGGGCTTCCCTGACAAATCCCTCAAAGTTACTTTCACTGTCACTATCACTGGCTCTGGCTGGCTGTGGTGGGTTGCGGGCGAAGAACTCAGTAATGCTTTTTTGACGGCTAGTGTTGATGTTGTCTTGATACACCTTGATGTACTGCTCCATAGCCTGCACCAGCCTGGTATGGAAGACTTCATAGCGGTCATCGTCATGGTCGTTGGAAAGGAAGAGCTTCAATTTCTCTGCACACTCGATGGCACCCTTAATATTACTATGCTTTAACTTGTGTTCTTCTGAGATTGACGCACCACCTTCCTCTTCACTGACGTGATCATCTTCCAACATCTCGTCTGCAGTCATTTCAGGATCTCTCATCACCTCCAGGTTGTTTTCGTTGGTGGTCTTGGAGAAGCCTTCAGTTGTAATACTGTGCACAGCTTCTCTTGCAAGGTCCAATGCCACTGTCACAGACTGAACCTCACCAGTCACAGGTTGACTTCGCCTCTCACCTGGTATGCCATGCAACACATGCCTCCATGCGTGACGAATCGTAGCTATAGACAGCTGATCCCATGCCTCCACCAAGAAGTCTACAGCTTGTTTGACGTTAAATTTCTTCCAAAACTGTTTGACGAGAACTTCTTGAGTCACCACCTCTTGTTCCTTGTCCTCGTCGCTTTTGCTCTCGCTGTCGGTGTCACCCAGCTTACGCAATTCTTCCTTGGTGTTGGTACAGTCGTTCAGGAGCTTGAATTTCTTTGCCGAGTATGCAGCTTTAACATTGCAGATCAACTCCTGGTCCATGGGCTGGATTAATGACGTAGTGTTGGGAGGAAGGAAGACCACTTTTACGTTGGGGTGACGATCCATAAGTAGGGGCGAGTGTCCTGGTGCGTTGTCAAGGAGCAACAAATTCTTGAATGGAACATTTTTTTGCTCGCAGAATTTCTTCACGTCGGGAATGAAACAGTCATCAAACCAGGAGAGTGACAGAGTAGAGAACATCCACGCCTTGTGTGCGGTCAGCCAGTGGACATTAATCTTGCTCATGTCCACGTTCTTGTAGGCGTGCGGCTTGCGGGCTGTGTGAATCACCGATAACTTTGGTTTACTGGTGCCGGAGGCATTGGTGGTAAAGAGGACAGTGAAGCGCTCCTTCTGCAACTTCCGACCCCGAACCTTGCTGGCAGACTGGACAACAAAGGTCTTGGTAGGCAGCTTTTTCCAAAAAAGGCCGGATTCGTCCATGTTGAACACCTGGTCGTCAGTGAACTGCCCTTCCTCCATAACCTCACGCATGAACGGAGGAAAATCTCTTGCCGCCACACGGTCAGCACTCGCTTCTTCACCACCAATGTTGATGATATTGTTCCTCCTCTTAAACCTATGCAGCCAACCAGAGGAAGCATTGAAGGGTTTGGGCTCTGCAATTCCCATCTTACGTGACACTGCTGCGTACAGTTCACGTGCGTACTCTTGAACAGATCGCGTGTCCACCGCCATGTTGCGTCGCGCCTGACGAATCAAATAACTCGCCAGCAAATTTTCCACCTTTAGCAGCACCTTGTTCTGGCAATACTTGATCATTGAGGCACCTGCAGACTTTGTGATTCTCATGTGCTCTTTGATCTTGGCTACATCCTTCTTAATAGTACGAATCGTAGATTCGTTGACTCCATGCTGGCGCGCAAGATCAGCTTGACGTGTTCCTTTCTCCAAATCTTGAATTATCTGGTATTTCACTTCGTAGCTTAGGGAACGGCGTATTTTCTTTGGCTTAGGGCGGCTGGGTCCAGGTAAGGAAAGGTTTCTCTCTGGTGGCGGTGGTCCGGCGGAAGCCATTTCACAGAGCAATGGATGCACGTATACACGGTGTGGCCTGGAGGGATGAAACTGGCGCGGCTAGGTCAAGCATCGTCTTTCCTCCCTCCCTCCCTCCCTCCCCGGGTGGACACGTCATAATACTTTAAGACAATTACAGCTAGCAGCGGAGGGAGGTAGGGATGCATGGCCAATCACAGTCCGATACGTCATATGACGTCACTGATAACGCAACAGAGACATGCACTGCGCAACCTTACCGCGCGGCTTGCCCAGGCGGAAGCGGGAGCAGGTGGGAGGGACGAATCTAAAAATAGCGTCGAGCCAGACACTGCGCGTATATGGGTAGATGAACCGCGGAAAGTGAAAGTTCGGTTCTGGCGAGGCACCGCGTAAATGAGAAAATGCGGAAAGTGAAACCGCGTAAAGCGGGGTAATACTGTATATGTGTGCTGTACACACACACACACACACACACACACACACACACACACACACACACACACACACAGACAGACAGACAGAGCCTGGTCAGCAAATGTTATTTGCGGATTTGGCGATTCGCGACCATTTTGAGTACCTAACCCCCGCGAATTTGGGGGCCCCTGTATATTTAAAAATAATACAGTACAGGTACATGTATATGTAATCATTTACACACACAATAATTGAAAAGTTTGTGCCAGGATTTCGTGTGTAAGAAACGGCGCTGCTCTTGTGTATGACGTACAGTATTTATCTTTTAGCACTCACGTACAGAGGTGGCACACTGATGTCTTTGTCTTCTTTAAAAAATCGGAAAAACAAAATTGGTAAAGTTACAATTCCTCTCAACTTTTTTCCCAAGAGCTGAGAAACAAGTTTTCTTTTATATGGTTTTCCTAAAATTGCTCCCTCTAAAAGGATAATGTTGTTAACTAGCACCACATGAGATTTGAATATGAAGTACCTATTGTATTTTTGACAATTGAAGACAACTTTGCCCATAGGTTAAGAAATGCAGTGTTGTCTTGTTATTTACTGGACTAATTTTTTCCTGAACACTAATCTGTGTCCATCTATATTGTCCCTCTGCCCACTTTGGTTTATTCTTGAATTAAAAAATTTGTTTTCATCTATAAAGATGGTTCATAAAGTACCTGGCTCACCAGGACCACTGTTGATAGATGTTACTGGAAATTTTGCTGGGTGCATTTGTGCGTAAATGCTGGATGGACTTGGTAGACACATCCATTACAGGTATGCAGCTGGATAGTGACAATTATCCAGTGTCTGATCCAGGCAAGGATGAGCATCATCGTATGAATGAAAATTCTTCACAAGAGACACACAAACAGGTACATAAAAAATCCATACTCTACTAAATTTTAGCTCTGCTAAAAACTGTGGTAATACACAAGGGGCCCCACTTTTAGGTTGGGGTTAGCCTCTTTGGCCTATTTATATATGCATACCAAATTTCAGTTGTCTATCTTAAAAATTGTGGCTGTGTATAGCAAAGAAACAGAAAATATGTGTTTCTGATGAGTGGGTTCCACCTTAGGAGAGGTATGCTGCTGATATCGTAATTATATGTTTTCATGTTTCTTGTCTCAGTTTGAACTTCCTCTAGACTGATATCTTGCCCATACAGTAGTACGTACTGAATTTTGAGCTGGGAAAATGCTCACTGATGTTGCTTTCTTGCCAGTAAATATGTAATTTTGTAAGGAATGCAATACCGGTAAGCACAAATTTTCTTCAGTTACGTACATGGTTTGTGATAGGTTCCTATCTTTGCAACTGCTACTATAAGATATCCCCGGTCCAAACTTTTAGAAAAACTATTGAAGATTATTTTAGTAATTAAAAAAAATTCTTCCTTAATTAGAACTAATTTTACACACACTGGTAGCAACATTTCTTACATTTTTCATAAAAGAATTGAGACCCCATCATTATTTTGTCAGAATATTTAGTTTAAGGATCTTTTATTCAAACATTTTAGTAGAGAATTTATTCAGGATCATTATGGTATGAAATTCATCTCTTCTGACAATTAGAACATATGTTGTAATAAAAGATTATAGCTACACTTTCGCTAGCCATAAATATTTTCGCTAGTGCCCATGGTCAAAGTGTAATGAGAGAGTGTTTGTCTGAGCATGATGAGATGCATAGTTTAGATTCTCTTAGACTCTGGAAAAGATTCCCCAGCCCCCAGAAACATTTTAGGGGTGTGGGTTTTTTCCCGGTTTGAGAGAATTGTCTCATTACCCGGAAATCTCCCAAACCTGGGAGAGCTCTGCACCAATTAATCCAGTTAATGGGGCGATCACTATACTGTACAGTACTGTGTTCAGGCATTCCTGCATTATAGAATTTCGCTCTACGGAATTTTGAAATAATTACTGTACAGTCGGCCCTTAACATACGCGGGGGTTAGGTAACAGAGATACCCGTGAATGTTAAAAATCCGTGTACTATTGCTGCTCCCCCTAAAAAAACCCTGGCCCCCTATGTCCTTATTTACCGTATATACCTGTGTGTAGTTCGAGTTTTTAAGACCAAATTATTTGGCAAAAAATTGGGGGTCAACCTCTAAACGAGTAATAGTTTCGTTAGGTTGAAAAATATTTACCAGTAACTACCAGTTAACAATGGAAACGACGCACCAACGCACCACCAGCTGTGAGTGTCGGTACAGTTGCCAGGGCAGATCTCTTGCGTCATAGCAAGCCCAAAGTAGCCAAATGCATGGTATGGTAGCACAGGACGATGTAAAACAAAGTGTTCATTTTTTAAAGTTTATTTATAGATACTGTACATAAATTTTTGTTCATTACATTTGAAACATCAATCTTTGTTAATTAAATTTGAAACAAAGGAAAACTACGATACCGTATTTTCATTAAAATACTGTATTACATCACAAGTATATTTTACCTTAACTGTGACTGAATGAATATATTCTCAGAAATAAATATGGAAATGTAATATTTTGGCTGAAGTGACGTTCATATTACAGTGGAAAGTTGGATAAAATCATGACTTTTGCTTTCTTTCGTTGTTCAAAAGATTTTACCGTAATCGCTTTTCGAATGGTTTTCAGTTAAAAAACTGTTGTACTGTATTACAATAATATTCTATCCTATCATTAGCCTCATAATCCCACAACTGAAAACCATTCGAAAAGCGATTACGGTAACATCTTTTGAACGAAAGAAAGCGAAAGTCATTGCTTTCGTCACTTTCCACTGTAATACGTACGTCATTTCAGCAAAAATATTACATTTCCATATTCTCAGAAATAAATAGTAGTTTTGCTGAAACGTAATGTATTTCAATGTAAATTAGGATAAACTACATGAAAACAAAAGACTTTACCTAACCTTCCGATGTTCAAGATATGTTACTCGTTTTTTTAATAGTTTTCGGTTAAAATACTGTTATATTAGTGATATTCTATTCATACTGTGCTTGATATAATACATTCACGGAAATGTAATATTTTTGCAACTGCAATGCTGATGTCAACACAAGCGTGGTTACAGCGAGACTGACTGAGTGAGGGAGAGCTATGCGTGTGTGTGTGAGGTTGGGGAGGCGGGCGGTGTTGATTGCTGTAGCGAGTTGAATGGCGCGCGATTTGAATGTACTTCAATTACTTCAATGTACAGAATATTCCTCCGGCGGGGCAATCCGCATATTTGCAAATCCGTGTATGCTAAACCCGCGTATGTTAAGGGCCGACTGTACTATAATTTCAACCCAAATTTTTACCCAATTTGTAAAATTAAATTTCAAGTGTTTCTCTGTGGTAGCCACAAAGTGGTTGGAAGGCTGCTCACCTCCCCAGCTGCCAACAACCACCACAACAATGGTGATGCTCTGAGAATTTTCTTCAGCTTGTGTTCAGTTATGTTTCTGTGTTTAGGACTTTATTCACCCTTATGGAATTTGGTTAATTTATAATGATTTTCAAAAGATAAAATTGTGAACAATAAATTTCACCGAAAGTATAAAATTTATTTCGTGTGGATTCTGGCATAGTTCTCTTGCCTCTCTAGTTGGTTGCTGTCACAACAACAATGGCACTGCTCAGTTTGAAGTCTTTCCCCAGTTTGTGTGTGTTTTGTTCATTTATTATGACTGGTTAAAACCATTTAATTTCACACATGTGTGTGCTTGTGACACGTTTTTGAGTTTCATACGAACTCATCTTAACTCTTATTATGGAAGTATGTGGGAAAAATGGTTTCTCGTTACGGAAATATTTTTGGGAACAGGAACCCTTGTAACCGGGGTGTGCCTGTATGTAAGAAAAGTAAGAAGGAACAAGATCAAACATCAACCCATGGTGTACTGACTGACTGGCTTCTTCCCCTGTCTTGGCTACATCTAGGTGAGGTAACCATGAGGTAAATTATATAGCAACTGTATGTTTATTGATATCTGTGATGTGACATTCTTTTAATTCAAATCTTTTGCCCATCAGAATGTTCCTCCTCTGGCACCACCAGCAAAAATTGCCTGATGTTTCAAATAAAATGGTATATAAACAGGAAAGTCCCCCTGCCCTTTTGTCACTATCATCTGTTGCTTCAGTATCTCTGATCGTTTGGTGCTTATGAGGATGACCTCCCACTGTTTGACACTTATTTGTCATAGTGATCCCAATGTGTGATGGTTGGAGGAACCATTACAGATCTGGTCACTTTGCAGTTAGAAGTCCTACAGGACAGTTTTGGGACACTTCTGTTTACAGTTCTATACCAGTACAGTAAACTTTCAGGGTTCAACCCACAGGGTACGCTGAAGGAAAGTGAGAACGTTAAAAATAACATAGATTAAATTAAATAGAGACCTGCTGACCCCAAACTCCACTTTTTCTCGGCATAATACCTATGTTCTAGTAAAAAACATCTTAATTTTATGATGGTACATGCACACAATTAATACTAAGAGATAGGAAACAGTCGCCAAGTTAATGTCCTTTCAAATAATGGACTCAACTCCTCTTCTCACACTACACTGCTGGCTCTTCCCCTGGAGAAATTTTTGAAAACCACTGATTTTAAGGTATAGTATAAATAATACTTTCAAACTAAAGTTAGGATAATATAATTGACATTGCTGGATTCTTGTAAGAACTAGGAATATTTTGAATATAAATGTCATATGGTTTGCACAAAAGATAACATATTTACTCAGAGTAAAATACTTACATTAGATCTAAAATTTGTATGTCTAATGCAAAATCTATGATGTTTATATTCAAATGATCATCAAATTGTAAGAATTCCAGCAATGTAAATTATATTCTGGCTGTGAATTGTATGGAATTTATGAGCTAAAAAATATCTCAGTTAAATATAAAAAATATTCTTCACGATTAATTATGTCAGTCAGTACTCCACCTTGCCTCTCATCCATCTCAGCAGTGGATGGTCGCTGCCTCTCCCCACCCCACTAACCCTCCCTACCAGAGAAATTGGGGAGAAACCAGAATATTTACCTTTTCAGTAATAAATAATACCTCCGACTAAAGTTATGATCATATACTGACATTGCTGGATTCCAAGACCAGGAATATATGTTATATTTTACAGATATATTACTCAGAGTAAACAAAATACTTACATTAGATCTAAAATTTGTATGTCTAATGCAAAATCTATGATGTTTATATTCAAAATGATCATCAAATTGTGTAACGGCAATAAATTATATTTGGTCGGTAATTTATGAATTGATGGAGCTAAAACAAATATCTTCAATAAATAAACAAAATATACACGCAAAATACTATCTGTCAAATAAAATACTTCACCTCCCTCTTCCCACCTGCTCCCCTGGGTCCCTCTTCCTCCCTACCAGACAATGATGATTGTGGTATAAAGTATTTACATTTTAGTAATAAATAATTTCAGACTAGTAGTAATTGACATTGCATTCCCAGCACTGTGAATACTAACATATATTTTCACAAAGGTATCATATTTGGAGTAATTGAAATACTTGCATTAGGGATCTAAAATTTGTATGTTTAATGCAAAATCTATGATGCTTATATTTAAAGTTCATCAAATTCTAAGAATTCAGCAATGTAAATATTCTGTTTATAATTTGTAAGGAATTTTATGAGCTCCAGTTCATTTCGCTGAATTTTGTCGTTGTTGAAACAATAAGAAGAAGTGATGGGTTGATTGCATCCGGATGCTCAGAAAGGTTGAACCTGTTTGTATGCTGATAAATATTTTGTGAAAATATGTTGAGATATTGAGGGTAATGAAATCATTATGTTTGATATTAATATTTGATGCTAGGAGGT